CTTCATTGTCAAACCTTAAACTAAATAGATGTTTGATATACCAAGCGTTTAATTGTGGAGCCAAATACTAAAATGGATAGCGTGACAGGTTCTAAAGATCTACAAAGTTATTCATTGATTTACGATTTTTGGCTACTCGTTGCCCTTATGAGCAAAGTTTATCAATCAATAACTGAGGGAAGATAGTTAGATTTAAAGCTATTGACGTTTTATGGAGTAGTGACCACTCCTCTAAACAGATGGTCTCTGGCGTTTGTCACAGTGCAGATAAAATCCATTTCGAAAAGCTGGCAACAATGCATGATTCGAATTCGTTGACACTTACTCAAACACCCTTGAACCATCACCTGGGCAAGTTCCGGCCTAGGTAATCTCGAAAAAATAAACTTTATCTAGATCTCGGGACAACCAGGGATTAAAAAAACTTACAATTGAACGAATATGCCACCTAAATCCGCCTGCACAAAATATCTAAATCTTGAAAACCCAGAATCAGAGAGTTAATGAGCACATAACTAGATCAGAAAAATATTATCTGGCTTAATCCGCCTTACGGCATGGATAGTTAAAAGAAATGTTACTAGTTCATACGATTGCATTTGTAATAGATAATTATTTTAACAAATCGCACAAACTCCATAACATTTTCAATGGGAAAAACCTAAAAGTGAGATACCGCCTTACACCAAACAAGAAAACACAGTCCAAAAAATAAAAAAACCGAAAGATCTTTAATTAATTCTACGAAGCTTAACCAAAAGTTCCAAAATAGAGTGATTAAAGGGTTAAGGTCCTCATCATCAGGTGAGTGAGTGACGAATAACGTAATCTACGATGTCACATATCAGTATAATTGACATAGGCGATTGGAGAGATGCGTGTCCTCTGATTGATCGAGGATTGCGTCCTACCTCGCTTTAATCGCCTCGCAGGAGATGATTATAGCAGGGACTGGCTGCCTCGCGTTTTGGTTATGCTTCCACGGAAGTGATAAACGTGGTAAAAGAAAATTAAATTGCGAAGAGCACAAAAATGGTTCTGAGTATGGCGGAACTTTTTTCAAAAGAGAGATATTAATTATTTGCTGATTTAATTGGCTAAACCTGCAAAACCTCCTCGCTTATCATGACACGAATGATCACAATTGTAACAAAATATGCGCAATGCTCTCTTTGTTTGCAGAATTTACAAAAGAATTCGAAAGATCCTGTGCAACTATATTGCAACAATTATTAGCATCAAGCTCTGTGAACGGTGAACATTGTTGTGTAATTCCCTCGACTTCGTCTCGGGGATCATTATTCAACAATATTCACTTCGCCATCGGCCAATAATTGCTAAGTAGAGGAAGGAGTGGGAAATCTACAAAGAACTTTACTTTCGGTAAAATGAATTGGCGGGGGGGGGGAGAGAGTTTCTTGATAAAATGCGGTGCTGCGTCGGTGGGAGAGTATAACAAAGTAATTTAGTTTTATCAACCGAGTTGATAACGTAAAGTCGCCACCGTGAAGAGTTTAAAAGCTGACGCTTCGAGCGTTAGGCCTTCATCAGAGCTCCGAGGAAGGGCAAACGCTCGGAAAGTCACTTTTTAAACTCTTTATGGTGGCCATTTTAGTTAAACTGGCATAGAAAAATGATCATGCATAAAATATAGAAGACGATTGCGTAGATACGTGCGGTAAGAAAAATATCCAAGTAAGACATATAAGGTGTAACTAAAGAAGAAAAATGATGAGAAATATCACAAAAAAATACTCACAAGGAGGTAGGGAAAATAAATGAAATAAATTGATATACAAGTACAAAATTACACAAAGGTAATAGGCAAGCAATTTAGATCTTTCATCGCACATAGGGTTTTAATATTCTAATGATCCTCCCGCACTTCATCAAAAGTTAATCAGTTGCCAGTCAATATTCTTAGTCATGTCTCCCCCTTTAGACTCTGTTGGTGATGACTAAAACTCCTCCATTCCCTCATGTGTTCCCCCCCCCAGAATCCTCCTTTCCCTCTCCCCTCCCCCTTCCGCCCTTCCAAGTGATCAACAATGACTGACCCCTAATTCTATAAAAAATCTAGCATAATCAGCGAAAAGGCTTATAAAAGTGCTCACAGATAATTTGTGTGACAATACGGCGGTATGATCGCATGAATGAAACTGAGGAAACGTGAACGGATGCATTTACGGTTTATTATGACCAAGGTGATAAACCGAAAAACATCTTGCTTTTTCTCGTCGTCTTCAACACTCATGTTTTCTCTTTCATGTTACAGAAGAAGTCATTGATGATGCTCAAGATCCATTTGAAAAAGTGGACTGTGTTAACACTTATGGCTCTTACAATCGTACCTGTAAAGGTGACTATGTTAGACCCTTTCAGCCATACAAGGACGTGAATGCGAACTTAACCAAAACTAATATCTCCCCCTTAACTGCTCAGGTAAGCAGAGAGACACAGGAGACAGTCGTGAAAAGAAACTTCTATCATGTTAACTTATATATAGACTCAACTAGCAGAGTATCCAACTGCAGTAATTCGAATCTTAAGGGGCCACTCGGGTTACTTCGTTCTATGCTCGTTCAAATCACAATTTTTTTTGCTTTTGTTTGTTTTTTTTTATCGAGTACGTTCTCTTCCCAATACTGACGTGCGATCGCAATTATTTTCATGCCGTCCAAATAGTAAACTGTCATTTTAATACCTCCCGCACTACTACTCAAGTTCCCCAGACTTGCACTCTTGAATATGTCAGGAATGTTTATCATCAGTTTTCTCGAATATCATCCGAAAATGAAATCGATGTAATTAAAAATTGCGAAATAGTTTTAAACTTGGTTTTACTTAAAGGAGAACTGAAGTCCAAATTCACCATGTATCGTACATTTTTGTATGATGGAACAAATTTCCGTCATTTTTTTTCCCTCGAACGACAGTTTTCATCCAGAAAACGAAGGGTTTTTAGTGATAATTGGCTCGATATTTGACTGTGGTACGTCGGCTCAGAACACGAATGTCAGGGGTTCTTTTTGCAGCATGTGACGTAGGTTATGGGGATGAAGGTAAACACGGCAAGAAACAGGCAAGTTGAATTCAGGACTGCGGCTTGCTCGCGGGAAAGAATTTGTGGTTTTCCAGGAGTAAAGATTGTGCAAGGTGAAGGAAAAAATGATTCAAGCGCCTCTCATATTAGAAAATTGGTCTTCTATCCAGGGATTGTGTAAGAGAAAAATATTGTGGCTTTCGTAACCCTGTGTCTCTGAAATGTAATTACGTGTCCAGATCATGTGCGGCGCATCTTTTATACTTGGATTGACCTCGATGTTTTCGGAATAGGGTCTCCACTTTAATTTTTCTTACATACTGGTAATTTAAGATATTTCATCTTCCATTCTGTTTCCCATATTTTGTTATTTACCTATTTTAACATTAGTTTGCAACGCGTTTGTAGTCTGGATTTTGCAATGGCATGAACGATAACGCACGCTGTTAACAATGTCGCAAGAAGTCCAAAAGGAAATAAAATTTTGAAATTCGTGTTGAACTTTGGTTTATAAGTTCTCTATAATGGGTTAAATTCTTGGCTTACGCAAGAAAGGATGTACAAATACGGAAGCCCGAGTTGTTTGAGTTTATTCTTCTATCTGTTCTTGGCGGTTGAGTAGCCCTCGTTGCAATATTTACTTCGATTACTTTCGAGCTTAAAAATGGTATACTGCGCGGCGTTCGATTGTAACAACGACTCGAGGTACACAACTGGTATATCCTACCATTGCTTTCCACTCTACGATCACAGTGGCTGGCAAAGATCTCACGAGCGGATCTGGTCGTTTCGAAAAACTCCAGGCTGTGCTCAGAACATTTTACACCTGACTGCTACGAACGAGACTTGAAAGCAGAAATTCTTGGTTTGAAACCCAGATCTACGCTAAAACCAGGTGCAATACCCACGGTTTTTTCGCAACGGAGACCATCAAAAAGACCTCGACTTTCATCGGAGAAACGTTCGGAAGAGAAAGTCAGGAAAGAAGTAAGTGAATCGCGAATTACTCTCTTGTAACTGGGTTGGGTTGTTGCAAAGCTTGGGTTGTTGCAAACTCTTGGGTTGTTGCAAACTCTTGAAGCTGCTCAAAAAAAAAAAATTGAAAGGTGAATGCAGTTTGGGGGCTATAACAATTTATATCTTAAGGGATATCACCCGAATAGGTTCCATTGAGAAACATTAAATTTTCACAGAAAAGTATTTCTTCTCCTTAAGCAAAACAATATCCTGCCATGGAATTCCTTCTAGTTTGATGTTTTTTTAACTCTGAGTAATCTTTGTACTTCGTCTCTCCTGAAAATTTTTGACCAGTAGGTAAACAAAATTAAATTGTTTCAGAATACAGTGAATATTCTTTAATTCTAGGAACATTATACCCGTCCCTTGTTAACTAGCAGGTGAACAAAATTAGTACAATTAGACTATGTATAAGTTGTGGATATTATTCTTTAAATAATGAATTCTTTTAACCTTCTCTACTTTTATGTGAATAAAAAGTTAATACAACTGGAAATTCTAAGTTGAAACCAGTGCAGGCTTTCAACCAAAGGAGGGCAGGGTCAGGTGTTATATTTTCCAAGAAAATCCCACTGAATCATTGTGTAACCATATAATAGCAAAGTTTATCCCCCATACCTACATTTTTCATTCTCTCAAAGGGTCACTAACCCATACCATAACAGAGTTAATATTTTTTCTGTTATAGTATATAGCCTCTGTAACTGCACAACCTAGTTGTGGAATCGAAGAACATGCAGCTTCAGCTTTAGAACAGCCTGCACCTGTTGATGTAGTGAATTGTGGAGCAAGTACATCAACCTCAGACAGCCCATCATATCCATTCCCACATTATTTAGGGACTACAAGCACGTTGGTTGAGTCACAAGCAGTGCAGGTGAATTTGCCAAACAAGGATGTGGATTTTGGGATCCAAGTCAATCTTCGTGGTCTCCATTTAATGATGAAATCTACTGACACCCAAGTCGAGGTTGATGTTTCAGATAGCAGCACCCAGACTAAAGAGGTATTCCTTCCTGAAATTGAAGATAACAAGGAAGAAGCAACTGAAGCTGCTGCTTCCCCAGAAGTCTCTCCAAGAAAAGATAGCAACTACCTTCCCACAAAACAGGAAGATTCAGATGATTCAAACTTGTCAGGATCAGACAACGAACACCAAGGGGAAACAAAATGCGAAAAGCCACAGGATGATACCAAATACATTGTATTTAAACAAGAGCTATTTAAATTGTTTAAGTACTATCCTGAGTGCGGTGCAGTTGTGATTAAGAGGAACCAATCCACATAAGGAAGCCAACTATTTGTCACCCTAGAATGTATGAATAATCATAAGTACTCCTGGCAAAGCCAGCCAATGCTTGAGGGGATGGCAGCTGGAAATTTGTTGCTGTCATCATCTATTTTGCTCAGTGGCTCTACCTTTACAAAAGTAGCATCTTTGGCAGATATCTTAAATTTGAAAATTTTCAGTGAGAAAACATTTTATAATATTCAAAACAAGTACTTATTACCCGTAATCAATGAGTTCTGGCTTAAAGAACAAAATTCCACTTTTTCTGAGCTAGGGGGGCGAGATCTGTGGCTTTCAGGGGATGGGCGTTGTGACAGTCCTGGCCATAATGCAAAATATGGGACATATACCATGATTGATCAGAAAACTGATAAGATTGTTGACTTCAAGGTTGTTCAGGTCAGTGAAGTAAATAATAGCAATGCCATGGAAAGAGAGTGTTTTAAACGCTGTATGGAAAACATCTATGAAAAAGGGGGGAAAATTATGGTTGTTGCAACTGACCGTCATGTGGGCATTAGGGCTGACATGAAAAGAAATTTCCCTGAAGTTGATCATCAATTTGATGGGTGGCACCTTTCCAAGAGCATAACTAAAAAGTTAACTGAAAAAGCAAAGAAGAAAGAATGTGCTGATCTCTCTCTCTGGATCAGATCCATCTCAAACCACCTTTGGTGGTGTGCCAAAACATGTGGGGGAGACAAGGAGATGTTGAGAGAGAAGTGGATATCCATTGTCTATCACACTGCCAATATCCACTCCTAGGATTCAGCTGACCTGTATGAGGAATGTGCCCACCAACCAATCCCTCCAGCTATCGCAAGAACTAAAAGGTGGCTTAGGCCTGGCTTCTCTGCTCATAATGCATTGAAGGAGGTTGTATTCGATAAAAATCTGTTGAAGGACATTCAGCAACTAACACTAAGTTGTCATACTGGCAATTTAGAGGTGTACCATAGTGTGCAGACCAAATATGCACCCAAACGGCAGCACTTCTCTTATAATGGCATGATTGCTCGAACTCAGTTGGCAGCCCTAGACCATAATGCCAACACTGGTAGACAACAAGCCACTGTATCCAGGGGTGCCAACCAAGGGGAGCTGCAATACAAGGTAGTGTTTCCGAAAAATACAAAAGAATGGCTGGCAAAGCCCATATTTGAGAAGACAACCAATTATCATCTCAAGCCAATGCTTAATGCCATTGTAGAGAGAAAATGCTTAAAACCACAAGAGAGGAGTGCAACAGTCACAGCACCACACATTCCTGAAAACATTTCCAGCAAACCCCGGCCTCCTAAAGCAGATGTCATTGCTAATCATACTTCGAGATTTTCGAATAATTAAATACAACAACTTTGTCAATAACACAATCAAATGAAAATAAAAGCAATCATCGTAGCAAAAAGCAATCAAAGTTAGGTTTGAGGTTTATTTCATTCAGGCCACGCAGCTATCCCTGGCAATGTGGATAATTTAATAACTGCTGTAGGGATGACATTCGTTTGGCTCTGCATGGCTTTTGACTGAATCACTATGCTGAAATGTGTTAGTAATTCATATCCTCGATAAGTAATTGTATATTTCAAGAAAATTTTAGAAAGAAACCGTAACATTAGGAAAGAAGAGCCTCCATTATAAAAGAGCATTACGGATAAAGTTCAAAGTTCCAGATCTGCTTCTCGAAAAGCCCACGTAATTACCACTCTCTTCAGGAAATGTTTTACGTATGGCCGTGACGACGCATGCTGGCACGATTCTCCGCCGGTTTTTTCCTAATACCCCATATGCCCACCAAGTAAATTGTCTGTAGGCTGCCAAACGCCAAGTTCTGGAGAACAAGAGGATGTAAAGTCACAAAAGCGATTGACTTAATTACGCGTACAAAATAAGAAAGAAAAAGACAGTTTACCTGTTGACGATAGGGTCGGGAATTGGATTGAGCCGCGCATTGTGGATTGCAACCAATGCCGTGCTCAAAACATCCGTGTCCAAGCATACAATGCCAAATTTCGGATGTTCTGTTATACATCTAACACCTATCAATACCCAAAAAGAAAAAATAAGTCTTAACATTTTCTTTCCCTCACTGTTTCAATAATTTTCATCCATCAGACCTTGTAGTTGTAATTACAACTAAGATCGAGTTTGCAATTGTCCACCTTTTGTCACTCTTAGTCACATAATAAGTACAAACCTGAATTGTCGAACTTTTGATTAAGCTCCTCTAGTTCTTGACAGCAGTAACATTCATTTGCCACCGGCATAAGCGCACAAGCGCCGCACAAACACTATTCGGTGTTTCCCATCCTCGAAGTAGTGTCTTCTTCGTGGGCTTCTACCTCCTGTTCTACACTCTCTTCCTGAGGTGGTTCTTCTCCAGGCTGATATACTGGTTCGAACTGAAATGGTTCTATTCCGCTCATGACGAAGGGTCGACGAAGAAGCAATTTGTATTAAAATTTAGCCGAACGATAACACGTCCTAAAGTGATCCCCATAACATACGTCACAGGCTCATTTGGAAGACCGCTGATTTAAAATTGGTGCCCACGGTTTGAAAGCCGAAACAGCGCGAAAATACAAACTTTAAAGAAATATTTCTCCAAGGCAAGACACATTTAGCACAAATAACGCCTGAAATCTAGAATCTCGTCACTTTGGCTATCGAAAGAAATTAACTCAATTTTTGGCTTCAGTTCTCCTTTAATACGTGCTTGGTATTTTCCTTAGAACTTATGGAGCCTTAACAATCATTGCTTTCCCAGAGAACTCTAACAACTAAGTAATAATGATGACAATGATTTGCAATTATCGGTCAATCTTTTAGTCGACCCATGTGTAAATTACAAAGTCCTGAGTAATGAGGACAGAAGGAGCACTTACGTCACAGTCTTCAATGAAATGTTTTGTGAGAATGGATTCTGAGAGTAGATTCTAATTTATGATCTTCGGATCAAAAACCAAGTATTTAAAAAAACGGATGCAAGAGGGCGCTTTTTTGTAGTCTCGAAGGGGGTAGGTTCTAATTTATGATCTTCGAATCAAAAACCAAATATTTAAAAACGGATGCAAAGGGCCACTTTTTGTAGTCCCGATCCTTATCAGTGCCGATAGGTTAAAACGAGAGAAAAACAGAAAACAAAGCAAAAACAAAAACAAACAAAAAAAAATATAATGAAATAAATGAAACATAAAACCATGAAGGAGAGGACGAGGAGGGGAGGGGAGGGGAGGGGAGGGGGTGTTCGCAGGAAAGAATGATGGGAAAACCATTGTTATTCATAGTATCTAAGAAAAGTAATGGCCTCCTCTCGGCCTCAATCTAATTTTGCTATTGTAGTGTTTAATTTAGGGGCACTTTTAAAGCTCGCTGGAGTTGCTCAATGCCGGATGTGTCGCAATTGTATATATTATGTGTACATGATTTCAATATTCTAGATTTAAGAAAAAAATCTACCTTTTTAACCACGTGTCGTCGTTGAAACTTTCTGTTATCTTCCAAGCGAGTTTCTTTTTAGAAAAATTTGACCGAGAGAGAAAGATACATTAACGATGTTTAGAGTTCGAGTGGTTACGAAAAATTAACTTTTTTGCTCAGAACAAAAACGCCCAACAAAGCACATAGAAACTAGCTAGTCGAGGGATTTCAACACGGCCATGACAAAATTACTGAAAAGTTGAAACCGGATGCCTTGGAAAACTTTTCTCGATGTTTACGTAACAGTTCGTACGTAAGATGGTATGGAATTACAAACGTAATAACCTTCGTGTATTGTTTACTGCCATGAAGCGAATGCAAACTGAGAAAGAGTGCAAATACTCAAATATTCCTCTTTTTAAACAGGTTTAGGAAGATAAATCAGAAAACGAATGAGACAACACGGGCTGAAGACCAATTTCATTTCAAATTTTAGCTTCTGCGGATTATTTCAAACAAATTGGAGTAGAGCTTTAAGATGCTGAATATAAATGATAGTTATGTTGACAACTGCGGCCTCTACTAATAAATTTTAACCACATCAATATACTTCGGTCAGTATTGTTTTAACTTTTCCTCTACTTTGTTCAGGAAATTTTATCATGAACTTATAATTACGGTTCATTCTAAACACATTCAACCAATTAAAGATGAATCTTAATCATTGGAAAATAACTCCAAATGAACTTTATTCCAACATTTTGGTCTATACGTTATTGCATTATTGCAAAAAAAAAAAAAAAAAAAAAAAAAAAAAGCCAATCTATCGCCTGCCTAGATGAAGTCTTCCCTATTTCGCTGAAAACGCGAATGAGACTACTCAACAGTTAAAAGATAACTATCTGATTACAACTTGAATAGTAAAAAGGGCCTCAAGAGCGACGCACGCTAACTGAGTTTCTTGACAAATGCGAGTCTCTTAGCTGAGACAAATCCCACGTCTTGAAAGCTGTCTTCGAAACAATTTTACAATTCTTTTCTAGGACATTTTCTTGAATTTATATACAGTTCCTCGCCTCAGAAACAAACAAAAACATAAAGAAAGACTCATTAAAAAATTTCGTCCGTGGATAAGCTCTAAAGATTGTCTGAGAGTTTTCACTTTTAGTGACTAAACCATCCGTGCATCGGGATTAATACAATTGCAATTTAAACAATAGAGACTTACGAACTAAATTTGTGGCTCACGCAGTTGGAAAAGTAAAAGCAAAACAAAACAAATTCGCGTTTTCCGCCGAAGAATTAGGCAAGCTGGATAAACATTAGAGATAATTTATTAATGAAGTAATTTCGTGTCTCATAGAAAGACATTAATAGCTTCTGGTATATTTGCCTTGTCTGTCATCTTGAACAAAACATTTACAATGTTAAATGATAAGGAAAATATGTATTGTTTATTCTGATAAAAGTGCGCTTGAACTTTGTTTTGAAACTCCTAAACAGCGCGTGAAGCCGGCTAAATGCTTCATCATGTACAGATTGTTGCGATGGTTTCATCATACGAACGGAAAAAATTGTGCTTTTTGTCTAACTTGTGGTGACAAAGCCCTGGGAAGAAGAGCGAACGACTTGACAAAAATAGCCGGAAATTTTGCAATAATTTCGAGCCATTATTACGTATTGATTTAAATTTTCATAAGACAAGATAGTAGACAATGCAAATAAATATGAGTAATGTTGAAAGAACGCAAGCAAATAACAAGAACCTGCGTATCACGAAAAAAAAAATAGTCATATTTGCAGCGCCATTAATCTATTTCAACTTCACTGTCGATGACTGATTAAAAACTTTCAAGCTCAGATATATTTAGCTATACATTCGCTGTATTTGGCATATTAACGTAAATTTGCATCGCATTTTGTTTAATCTGTTTGTCCTCACTGTCAACTTAAATTTGTATTGTAGCTGAAAGACCTTGAGGTTCGAGCAAATTATTTGTGTTGTGTGTGCTTGAAGTCCGTGAATTATGGTCATTGCGCCTTTCGCGCAAAATGGATATAAACTTTGACAGAAAAATCATTTCCAACACGAATGGTCAGTATTTGGTCCGAGCTCACCGTGTTTAGAGTAAGTTTTCAAACCAAAATTACGCTACAGTTTGATGAAAGTCAAAACCATTTTTGCCGGACTTCCCTTGAGTTCTTACTGAAGTCTATAGTTTTTTCTCTCAAATTCATTTGCATTACGTTTGCTTGACATGAATTACAAAAAGGATCTATAAGTATAATACATTTTGCACCCGACGCAAGAGGCGACAGCTTTAAGGAATTAATACTAACATTTTATAGTCCAAAACGCATTCTCCAGTCAATCCGTTCCATTAGGTTAAATTCTTTGCCGGCTATTATTTTACCAATTTAGTTTTTTTTTTGTGTGTGTGTTATTTTTTTTTTTGTGCGAAGAGCCCAAACGGGAAGAGGGAAGTTCATTTCTAATATTAATGAGAGAGAAAGATACATTAACGATGTTTAGAGTTCGAGTGATTGCGAAAAATTAACGTTTTTGCTCAGAACAAAAACACCCAAAAAAGCACATAGAGACTAGCTAAAAGTTGGAAGTCTTGGGATTTCAACACTGCCATGACAAAATTACTGAAAAGTTGAAACCGGATGCCTTGGAAAACTTTTCGCGATGTTTACGTAACAGTTTGTGCGTAAGATGGGATGGAATTACAAACGTAATAACCTTCGTGTACTGTTTACTGCCATGAAGCGAATGCAAACTGAGAAAGAGTGCAAATACTCAAATATTCCTCTTTTTAATCAGGTTTAGGAAGATAAATCAGAAAACGAATGAGACAACACGGGCTGAAGACCAATTTCATTTCAAATTTTAGCTTGTGGGGATTGTTTCAAACGAATTGGAGTAGAGCTTTAAGATGCTAAATATAAATGATAGTTATGTTGACAACTGCAGCCTCTGTTAAATATTAACCACATCAATATACTTCAGTCAGTATTGTTTTAACTTTTCCTCTACTTTGTTCAGGAAATTTTATCATGAACTTATAATTACGGTTCATTCTAACACCCTACTATATAAAGCTTGCATGTATACTCTGCCTATGTGGGCTGGTTAAATTACGCAGAACCTACAATTTTTCTTTTATTTTTATTCCTATTTATTTATTTTTTATTATTTGTGTTTGTTTTCAAGACAAATTATTAAAAGTAAAGGTATAATGAAATTCCTGCCATTAGAAAATGAAATAGAGGCAGTGCATAATTCAAGGAACGAATAAAAAATATTTTTTTGTTTCGCCGCTTTGATGTTTTACAAGCCTGCTGCTCAAAGTTCCCTCATTATTTTAAGACCATCAGTACTGTAATGTTTCCGTCATGGCTAAAAATTCGTTTTCCTTCAGCGTTAGTAGCATTGCAATGGCAAGCAGCGTTTGACTTCCCGAACCGATTATTTCACGAATTCTTGAGTAAAACCAGGCAAATCATAATTTACCCTTTGTTAAGTATAAGATGCAAGATTTAGGATGAAGACAATAACATACAAAATGCTTCGCAAGGTACATCTTGCAAGCTTCACCACGATACTCAGCATTTCCTTGATTGTTAATTCCATATATTTCCTATGCATGTGCTTACTTCGTTCCAAGGCGTCACTGAAACACAGTCAACCAATTAAAGATGAATCTTAATCATTGGAAAATAACTCCACATGAACTTTATTCCAACATTTTGGTCTATACGTTATTGCATTATTGCAAAAAAAAAAAAAAAAAAAGCCAATTTATCGCCTGCCTAGATGAAGTCTTCCCTATTTCGTTGAAAA